CGACCTTGAAGCAGCGGGGATTGCAGTGGGGTCTGCAAGGCGCTCAGCTCCTTCGGCCTGTCTGAAAAACCAGTCCTTATCCCGCTGTTGATGAGAAGCGTTTGCCGGTGTAACAAGACATGAACTGGACCACGACGTGGACTGTGAGGTCATGAAGTACCAGAGTGCAAGGAACAAGTTAAAGGGTACGTTCGCTCGGATTTTCTAAGGCAGACGCTTAGCTGTGGCAATAGTATTCTCAAGAAGTTTCATCTTAATCTTAGCATCCCTTATAAAAGCTGCTGTCCTTGCGGTGGTCATTTTTGTTTTACTTAAGTGGTGCTTTTTTTTGTTTTGTTTTCTCTTTGGGCACAATCTGATGTAAAACATGTTGCTCTAGAAGAGGTAATCACGTCACCATTAAGCCTTTGATGAAGGAAATCATTTTGGACACATGGGGAAATTCTTGTAAAGCTTTATCTGATTTCCGATGTATCTATTTTATTCATATAACCTTGGAAGTTTTCTTACTCTAGTGTATGAAAATGGCTGTCTATGCGTTTGAGTTTGTGCAATACAAAAGAAAAAAAAACACAAACCTCTTAGTATCTGAAATGCCAACAGGTTGGGAAAGACCATAGTATTACATTAATATTCTATTTCTGTAAAGTACTGTTACTCTGACAAGCCATTCAGTTGGATTTGTATTTTCTTTTTGTGTTGGAAGACAGATGGTTTTAGTATTGCATAGTAAAATATTTAAAGTCTAAGATAATAGTTCCATTTTATTTTATACAGTTCAGAATATGAACGTTATGTATGAATTCAGCCTGGAATTTCAGATCGCCTTAGCTGTGAGCTCGACGATAAGACTTTCTCCATTACGGTGGCTACGTACAGGCACCAGAAGTTCTGCATATGACGTGCCACTGGAATTTCACATACTCTGGGGTTTTTTTAATCTTCAATGATGTCTCACATGGATTATATAGGAGTAGGCCTATTATATACACGTGTAATGAAATAGAAAAATGCTCAGGTAATTCTGTATCACTGCAAATCATTTTCCATTTCTGGTTATTTTACTCTGCCCATATTATGGAATATTCTATGCAGTTGATTTTTAGACAAACAAGCACTCTTGGATTATCTTCCTAGCCAGTTTTGGGGCACTGAAAAGCATCGACACTTAACAGAAATGGCATTAATCACCTTTGACTTTAGTTTGAAGGAGGGGGGGGAGGCTGAACACAGCTCTGCGAGCCTGGAGTCGAAGGCAGCACTCCTGCAGTTTGTGACCTTCCTCACGCTTGAACATGCTTCGCAAGCAGGAGCCCGTTGATGAGCGCTTCTCATCGTAACGGACTCACACCCTCTCTAGGGCCGTGTTTAGGGTTTTGTCTTATTTAAACTTCTAACGTGATTCATTCCTAGTAGTGCCAGATGTAAACAAAGTGTGCTTGTCTGGGAGAGCAAGCTTGGATGTAAAACACTTATTTTCCTGATGTAGAAGTATTTTTGCTGGTTTTACTTAGCTGGTATAAAAAATCTTCCCGATATTACTCATCAATGACTTTATATGCAGCTTTGTACATTTTCCTGTACTCACCATACTTGTTTGGTTGTTTGGTGCCACTTCACTTATTTACAGATGCTTTCTTCCATTAGAAACAACTTTTTTAGTTTTTACAATCAAAAACCATTTTTGTAGCTTGTTCACTCATTAGGTTAGAAACATTTTAGACACTGGAATTGGAATCTGTCGAGAGACACAAGAAGTTTGTTGCTGAAGACCTCCTCTCGTTACTTTATACACGTGTTAATTAGGAGAGGCTTGTGATTGCTCTGCAACTACTGGGGATTTTATTTTCTGACCTGCAACGAATGCTCTGAGCTGCTGACATCTCCCCCCTCCACTTTTTGATGTGTGTGGAAAAAAAATCAAGCAGGAGATTGCTGTCTGGCCTGTTTTCTGTCTGGTTAGGAGGTGGTGAGAGTCTGTCACTAAGCAGTGACTGCGCCGTTTCAGGGCGCCCTTTAACCAGCCCCAGGAAGCCCCCGGTTCCGTGACGCCGGGAGAAGGACGTGTGCGCAGGAGCGGCTCCCACACTGTCTTCAAAAGAGCACGCAAGTAAATGATAGGTACGCGCTTCCTAAACGCTGTCCATTTGCACTGTGGGATTTATGCTAGTCTATGTGTAGTATTTATTTGTTTTAATGTGTTTTGCTCCTTGGACACCTACCCCACAGGCTTTATGATCAAAGTGATTTTTCCAACATCAGCAGATTAAATCGGTTAGTAGTGAAGAAGAAGCCCGTTAGTTGCTGCTTCTTACAACATCCAGGTTTGGAAAATCTTTTTTTTTTCTTTTTTCTTTTTTTTCTTTTTTTAACTTTGCCTCTAACTGTTGGAGGTTGACAGCTTTAGGTATTTAAGAAGTGTCCTTTGGGAAGGATGAAAGGATGAAAGGTCATGGAGACATCCGAGACAAATTCTGACAATGGGAACTGCTGGGTTCCACTGCCACTGAGCACAGGTCTGTGACAATCCTGGACCCATATTTTCAAGTTGCTCCAGAGAATGGTGTCATAAAACAAAAGTGAGCATGTGCTTGTTTTTGTCGCACTGTAAAATTCATTGCTTGACGAGAGTTACAAACTTTTCCAGAGTAGGGGCTCTATATAATAATCTCACCATTCTTTTACTGGAAGCACAAAGATGGAGCAAGGGCATTCGACTATAGGTAGCGCTCACTTTGCACCACGGGTGACATACATACGAATTGCCTGTGGCGCATTTGCTTAGGTTAGTGCCATAAACCTTGTTCATTTTCCCAGAAGGCTTAGGAATTATGTTCCCAGGGACATCAACTGAATTGTCTGCTGGCTTTCGTAAACAGAACCCAGTGTTAGTCCTGGCCCATTACACTCCAGCGTGCATTTTCATTAACGGTCTCTGTTTTGGGGCTTACCTGGTGGTTTTTAGTGCACAGGTCTCTCGGTGCCCAGGTGACTGTTACACCCCGTGACACACATGCCTGGCTGTACGTGGCAGCAGAGTGGACGTGCAGTGACTGTGGAGCTGGCTTTGTTTCTGTGAGGTGTGCTCGGCTCCGGGCGTAGGTTTTTATTGCCCCGCACATGGACACCTACAGCTCCCAGCAAACAAGCAGCCATTGGAATTACATTCAAATCCTTTATTCCCAAGTTCTAATCTCCTTTCCGTCTGCTGCTCCGATTCAACAGGCTGCTCGCACTAAGCTCCGTCCTGCCAGGAAAGGGCTCCCAGCTTGTCCTGCGGCTCGGCTGTCGCGGTACAGAGACACTTGTCCGCTCTAGCCTTCTCCCTTCCCCTGGAGATCGCCATCTCCCACTCCTCCAGAAGAGGATTTCTGCTGCAGCAGAAACCGGTCCTGACTCATGCCGCGGGATCCAACAGCTTTTAGGTATTTCATGGCTCCAACCACGCTCTCATTTTTGCATCTTTGCTCATAAAATAAGGGATTAATGGTAAAATGTAGCAGCACAGGCTCCAATACAGGTGAACAGAAAATGCAGCAGGTTTCGACAGCCCCCTTCCATGTTTCTACAACAGATCTTTACTGGCTGCTGTGCAGATCTGCTTCGTTCAGGTCTATGCTTAGAGCTCTGGTGGTAACAAAAATAATCATAAAATTAATAAAAATTTAACTGTAAAAGCAGCATTGAGGTTTGCAGCTGTGCAAACTGTGTCTTACAGACCAAAATCAGACATCAAGTTACTCTTCAGGAAAAAAAACATCGCAAGTCAAGGTAACTACGTCTATTTTTAACCAAG